GAGAGCCTACAAAGAGTGCTCTGATCAAATATACTGACCTTACCTACAGTTCAAGCAGCCACAGCTGCCCCAGCCTTCAGGAAAAGGTTTGTTATGAACAGTGCTATCATCTAGGCTCTCCCTTGTTTACTACTCCTTACAACAGCATTAGTGTAACCACATCTGAGAAAAGCGTGTATGCTTTTCCTTTTTTGCAAAGCATTACATATGTTCTTGTGTCAGCGATGGAGAAGGGAGGCAAGGGAGAAAAAGCCACATCTTCATAAAGAGGGTGAAGCTGATACCAAATATCTTCCTTACTCAGGTCGCCTTTGATTGTTTTGTGAAGAAAACACGAACATGCAGAGCTTAAGCTCTTCTAGTCACACCTACATTTTCCTGGACTCGTATCTCTATTGCTAACACCCCCTGCCATATGGTTCTTTGCCATCTTTGCCTTCTAAAGGCAGTGTCTGCCATAGCACTGGAGGGCTCGGAAGCAGTATGCACAAGCATACACCCTGGCTGCACACACATGCACTACTTCCCATGCCATTTAATCTCCCATCTCCAGAGAGGGATAGCTTTTGCAACATATCTCATTTTTATCCCAATCTTTGTTTCTGCTTTTATTTTTGCAACATGAAAACGTGCACAATGTACCTGTTTCTGGCACATATTTTCCTTTTGGTCCTCTAACACAAGGAAAGAACTTACCTGCAAGCTGTCACCCAAGCAGAAGAGAGGGGGTTTTGTTTGGTTGTTGGTTTTGTTTTAACTTAGAAGATTCTTTCATGCAGTTTCCCGCCTTCAAGGTCATGAGAAGGTAGCGTTTTTCATGCCAAAGTTGATGATTCTGTTGTACTACTTCTGCTTTAGTTGAAGACAAAGGGTCTTTCTGGACTTCACTTAATCAGAAGATAGGATTATTTCTTATAATGTTATCTGATTATTTATAATACCCTGCCCTGAAACATCTTGTTGGTTTCCCATGTTAAGCAAAGTGGCAATTTTAACAAAATCCAGCCTGAACAAAGGAAACATGTTAACTATGTTTTACCATTCAAACCCAAACAGCAACGATTGCTCAGTGCACTGAAGTCAATCAGTGGTATCTCTACCAGTGGGAAACACTTGGCCCACTTGCTTACAATCCCTTCAGATGCTAAAAGAGACACAAGTCTAGGCCTGTGTTTACACCTCAGAGTCCCTACCCTGAAGTAAGGTTATCCAAAAACCTACAGACAATCTGGAAGTACGATTTGATTTTGATTATCTTCTCCCACTACAGCAAACTTTCCCATTCTCCCAAGTCTGGGCAGGAACATAACTACAGGAGCTCAGGAGGGCTGAAACAAGCAAAGAAAGATGAAGCTGAGTATAACGCAGGGCATTGGAGATGCCCAACATGGAAAAAAACAAAGTTATAAATGAGACATCCTATCCACTCACAGGATACTCAGAAAAATGAGCAACAGAAAGGACAGACACCTTACAGTTGACTAGATGAAAAGGATGTTCCAGAGTAACCTATGCTTAATTAACATGATATAACACAAGCTCCTGATAGGAGATGTGATACAAAAATAAGCAACCACCTTCAGTTCATGAGCTGGCAGCCAGCTTGAGCACATATGTTACTGAGTAAGTCGTGTAATAAGAAGCAAACAATGAGTGACTCCATGCCTGCTTCTTCAACTGTATAGAAGGCCTGGCACTCAGCTCCAGGTTTGCTTGCTTTGCAAGTTACTGCCTGGCACCAGCTCTGCAAACCTCAGCTCAAAGCACTCCTTGGCTTGAGAACAGCAGACGCAAACCCAACCCTTGTTGTAGGACAACAACTTGGGTATCATTTTGAAGGAAAAAAAACCAGACTAGGCAAGGCAGGAGGAGGTACCATGAGACAAATCTATGAAGTTTATGACAAATATAATAATAGTTATTGTACATGCAAAAAGCAGACTGCAACAGCACATAAATAAACCTCAACAATAAAATCCAGGAAATGAGTAAGTCAGAAATTTTGTTTTAAATCATTTCAAAAGCAGCAGGTTTGTATCTTGAACACTCGTAAAACAACATAGACACAATTAATGTGATTAGCAGGAAAAACAAGATTGCAGAAGAAAAAGCAAGTACACACATACCAAACTGGAGGCAGCAACCACACGTTCAAGTCCTTAGTACAGATAGCCACAGATCTCAGCTCTACTGACAGGGGTAGAAAGTGCACTGCCTAAAGTGCTGCTGGATGGCCTGCACCTGCCCTACAACACGTTGGTCCAACCTGACCCTACAGGGACAGGTTCTAATTGAGGTAACTCAATTTCTCCCACTCAGGTGAGGCAGCACCCTACATCTCCACGCTCCCCACTCAGAGGGACTACAGCTTTTTCCCACCAAAACACTGACAGACCTGAGTGAGCCACTTGCTTGTCCCCAGCCTGTCCCTACCAGACTGCTTCCTTCCTACCACAGCTCCTCCAGGAGCACTGAAACCACCCCCCATCACTCCCTTTAAACCTGTTATCTACAGTTCTTATCCAAATACAGGTGACTTCAATTTGTTACTAACACAGCACACCTGCAGCAGGACCCCATGTGCCCAGAGTACAGAGAAAAGCCTCACTTAGCCTCTCTGAATCTCATTATACTTCTCTGGAGATCATTGAGTCCAACCCCCTGCTAACGCAGTTCCCTACAGCAGGTTGCACAGGTGGGCATCCAGGTGGGTCTTCAATATCTCCAGAGAAGGAGACCACCACCTCTCTGGGCAACCCAGTTAGCAGGAGGATCTCTGATCCTGCCCTAGCTTCTCTTTAGATTGAAAGGAACAAACATTTCTACTAAGATGGGTTAAAACATCCATCATGAATGCTGGATTGGAAGGCAGAAGGATGGCTGTGTCTGAAAGAATCTGGATGGTGTGTAAAGGACCTTCCAGAAATGAAGGATAGAAGAAAGAAGACAGGGAGATACAGAGAAGAAAAAGAATGAATGGAAGGTTTCCTTGTTCTAATTTTCTCACGTTCTCACGTTGCACAGCCTACAATATACAGAAGAGAGCGTGATTCACACAGAGGCAGGTGTGCTGTAGAGAATGCACAGACATTAAGCACAGATTATCACATAAACTTCCAAGATACACTGAGTTCTGATGTACGCCTTAGTGGAAGAACAAACTTCTACCACAGAAATCTATCAGTCCTCTATTTCTCCTTATGACGAATCACATTGCTATGCCTTGCATTTGAACACACAGGCTTCCAGTAAGTTATTTACTCCTCTCCACGTGACATCTTCATTAATTTGCCCTGGAACCACTCACCCGACCCTACAAGTCTCTGGATTTATACCACACTCCCATTATAAACTGGGTGAGCAGCTTTATGTGAAGGGCAGCAATTGAAAAGAGCCACCACCACCATCACAGAGTTCATTAACACACGTTACAGAAGGAAGGCAATGTATTTCAACTGTTACTTGTATGTTGCATCACTGCAATGCGTGATTCACATCACAGTAGTAGCATTAATTTCCAGTAAGTCATAAGCTGCTCTGTGCTATAAAATACCATAGTCCCACTCTTAGATGCCTGAAATTCAAGCAGTGAGGCAGAAAAGAGGTGTGGAAATTAAACTAGTAACTGTTAATCAGTTTATTAAATAATTTTCCCAAGGTTGCTCAAGGCAAACCAAAGCAGGAAACCCAGCTCTTCTGGCTCTTCCTCTAGCTGTTAAGCACAGCATCTTCTCTCCCTTGTCTCCCAGGCAGTGTATCTGACACGCTTTTTGCTTCCTGCTTTCCTCCTCCTTCACGTTTACCACTTACTTCATTTTCTAAGTGCAGTTTATCTCCAAGTCCGTGCCACGTTTGGCACACACTGCCTGCACCTATCCATTTTAGCTATCCATCATCTGCGGGTCTGTTTTCTGTACGCCTCCTTGCCACGCTCTCCCCCTGGTGCTCCTGCCTTGCTCCTGCAGGCTGCCATCCCGTTCACACACAGGGCCTGGGATGCTGAGAGAAGGATGGATGACTGGTTATCTCTCAAATGCCACCATAAGTAAATAAAGGAATAAGAGCCTACTTCTTCCTATTTCTCAAATACAATCGTTAGATAGACCCTTCTGAGTAACAGGGCAGTTTCTCCCTGTCAAACTCATGGAAATTCCATTGGGATTTGGGGTTCTTCCTCCCTCGGACACCAGCCCAGAGGACAGTATAGTTCAGATTGTCGTGCAGCTCTGGGATTAGATTCCTTTTTACTTTAATTCTCTCCTTTGCTGCACTCAGAGACATAACTTTTAGGTCTATTTTCTGCGTTATTTGTGGCACTTCAGTCTCTCTCAATACACGTGCATGGTGAGAGGTAGACATTAGGACAACAGACACTACCAAGCTGATTCCAGAGAATCTGGCTTGCACTGCTGTGGAGTTGGACAGAAAAAGAAGGGAAAATAAAACAGCAACAATAAAAGAATATGCAGAATGAGTGATGCACAACACAACTGCTCACCATCAACCAGCTGAAGACCAGCAGCCCCCAGCGTTACCGCTCAGCATGACCTGGTAGGGGACATCCCTGCGGCCAGCCTGGCATGCCCTGGTGCTGTCACCTCTGTGCCCCCCAGCCTCTTGCTGCAGAGCACTGTGAAAAGCTGAGAAAACCTTGGCTCTGTGCAGCACTGCTCAGCAGCAATTGAAACGTCCACATGTTATCAACATTATTCTTATCCTAAATCTGAAGCACAGCACCATTAGAAAGAAAATGATCCCAGCCACAACCAGGATGGCCATCCGGAACTTCAAAGTGATGGCACTGTCAGGTAGCATATGAAGTCAGAAAAGTGAGGATTAGCAGGCTTAGAGAAAAGAGATTGCCTCTGCACCACCCATTTTGTAACTATTTGTAGTTCTTCCCAGCTTCCGTGAGTGACAAAAACAAATGGTAAGGTATGCCATGTAATGAAGGTGTTCCAGTGAGGGACAGGAATAAGGACCTTTGGCCCCAGGGGATTCTTCCTTCGAAGCCTGCTAAAGAATGGCTCTGCTCTAAGTGCCAGAGCGTGGCTCAGAACATGATGTAGGCTGGCAGCCAGCTCTGGCCTGGAGATGTGGGCTTGGGAGACACCACGAGGACAGGCAGAGCTTTACAGGAGACAAAACTAGAGGACAAAGAGGAAGCTGGATGATGTGCAAGGAGAGAGTGAACCTCTCTGTCCTGTCTCCCCATCCACACAACCCTAGCTCTAGCAGCGCTCTGGGGCTGCTGTGAGATTAAAGGGATTGCCTTCATCTGTGTGATTGGAGGATGTTGTCCAGCTTTGGGTCGTGGTTTGGCTTAAGATGAGGGTTTACATTGAGGGTTCTTCTTTTTATCAGCAATACACCTCAAGGAGAACTACTTGTTTCCCTCCCCCCCGGTACTCTGTCCTCTTTGCCATCCCTCTGTCTGAATGGGGGAGGATCCCAAACCTTCAACAATTTCACAATTCCTGGACTGGGCTCATCTAGATCACTTCTCTCCCTCTGCACCCATGTCATGTCCCCTATTGACCACAAGGAGGCTAGTGTTAGGAAAGAAAAACTTTTATAAAGAGATTTTTTTCAACCCTTGTTCTTCAGGGTTTTTTTGTTTTTTTTTTTTTGAAAAGATAACGTACATTCCCAACAACCTCTGTATATGTATGTATTTTTTATAGATGTATGTACATGCATGCATTTATACACTTAAATGCAGCCCTGCAAACCAGTGCCTATACTGGTAACAGCCCATCCTGCCTCATAGCAGAGAAGACAGCTCCAAGAACAAACAGTAAAAACAGTGTCCCCCTCAGATGGAGCAATGCACTGAGCCATGTCCATCTGTGGCTCTGGAGGGAACCCCATCAGCTCCAGGCTTTGGCTTTGGCTTGAGTGTTAACACACTGCTTCACAATATTTCTATACACTGACTAGATTATACAGTGTCATGCAAGGACATTGGCCACAGGACTTCAGGAGATCACTCCAAAGGACTGAACTCTTAATTCCTTTAACAGGTGCCACACAGTCCTCAATTTGGAACCAAGCTGTGACTTTCTAACTCAACTAGATGACTGTAAATAGGGTGGAAATAGAAACAAGAGATGTTCTTTTCTGGGAAGTATCACCACAGTAATACAGCCCATCTGTCCAGAGCAACAGTTGTGCATATTAAAGGAGAGTTAAGGAGGAAGCAGCTCCCAAAGAATGTCTCTTAATTCTGCCTCAGAGCTCCTCACTGTTTTTGAAAAAAGAAACAAAGATAAACCGGTCACTGCAGCAAGGAGGCAGAGACCCAGACTGGCAGGTCGGATGACAGCAGCCCATCTCTAGTCATAGGCATCATCATCATCAAAGTAGGAGTCACAATCAAGGTTATCTGACTCATCATAAAACAGAAAGTTGTCTTCATCTAGGTCATCGTCGTCATCATCGTCATAGTCTTCCTGCCAGTGTGGTTCATACTCCTCATCTTCAACCTCACTGCCATCTTCATCTGTGTCGGGGGACTTGCACAAGATGGCACTTTTGGGCCTGTTGAAGAGAAGAATATCAGAGCAGCAACCGTGACCCAGCCCCACTACCCTTGTCCTTCCCACCTCCATCACCTCTGCAACCTCTGCCAAAGCTATGTCTTAGGGATTCAGCAGCTATGCAGGTACGCCTAGAAGGTGGTGATTAAATGGCTTTATCCACACATGCAGCACAAGGATGTGCCAGTAAGCCACCTCTGGATAGGCCAACAAACTGCAGTCAGCAGCTCTGGAGTCTCAGCCTTCTTGGAAGAAATAAGAAACCCTGCCCTAAAACTGAGTCTCCCTTGGCCTATCTGTCATTTCTTCCTGTAGTCCTCAGCATGCCCTGTTTAACTCCCAGAAACACAGCAGCTGTCCAAGGGTCTGGTCACAGTAGGACTGCATCTACCCGTTGTGTCCTTTGGTTTAAGCAATGTATCATACAGAAGGGGACTCTGCTTTAAACTCATCACCTTTCAATCACACTTAACAACTTCCAGCTCAGTACTCTAGATGAGGGTCACAAGAAACCATTAATTTCACTTCTCAACACATTATTTTACAACCGTGTCTTCTCCAGTCCCTTTCTAAAGCAAGTGCTAGGCCCTTCTATTTCTCTCCAAGTGTGTTCTTCTCGTTGTTCTCATTCAGGCACCTCCTAGATCTCTAACACACTTCTGAAGAAAGAGCAGGTGACCCTCTGCAAGAATCTAGGAGAGTCCAGGTAGAGCAACACCCATAACTGGGTCTGCCAACAATGGAGCTTTCTCGGCTAGTGAAACCTCCACTACACAACTGTTACTTATCCTCTCATTTCAAACCACAATACAGGACACAAGAAATCAATATATTTTATTAACTATTTTGCATTTCATTGAGCACAGGAGAAAATTGGTCACGAGTGCTTCTTCTGCACTCACCACCTTTCCTTGTTACCCTGTGAAGAAAACTCACCCTAAAGAGGCAGTGGACGAAGAAGGCACATTTGAGAGTTTCACCTTAGTCTGAGCAGGATCTGCCAAAGCCTCAAGCCCAATACGGAAATCCTGCCAGCATGGAAAAACAGCATGGAAAATCACACAGAAGAGTGAGACAATACGTAATGTGAGATCTACTTTGTACTGCAAATCCCTTCCCAACACCCATGCATACTCACAGCACCTCACAGTCTGTATCCTCAGCTAATCAAGACCTTTTCTAGGCTGGCCAAAATTAAACTAGATCAGAGCAAGACAAACCACCTGTTGATCCCAGGAACTTCACCTGTGTGGAGTGCCAGAGAATTGCAAAGAGACGCTCCTTGATCCGATGCACCAACTCCAAACCAGTACTGAAATGCTCTGCTTTCAGAAGTCGAAGAGAAGAAGCCAGGTCCTGGAACCGCAGCAGGGTTTCCTCTACAATTTGAGACCAAAAAAATCACACTGCTCCCCACGTTCTTAAGCAGAAAACAAGTCTCTGAGCTCATTATCAAGCCAGTCACAGCTACTTAGATTCCTTGTGCAAATACATTCCTCCTTCAGAAGGAAGCATATTGCTTATTACTGCATCAAACTGTGCTAGCAGCCAAATTTCTTCAATGGACTTCCCCAAATGACATTGAGAAGTCAGAAACATGCTGGGAGATGTGACCAGATATCTGCTGGGTGCTGGTGTGTATGCTATTGCCCTACAGCTACACATTATAGAGCTATCACCCTTTGAACCACATATCAGGAACTGCTAGTCAGTACTTTGGAGAGACTGTGGGACTTACCTAGAAGGATCTGCAGAGCATTTGTGTGAAGCTCTAGGCTCTCAGTCTGCTGTTCCACAATATCGACGCTTTCCGTGTCCTGGTTGTAATAGCTGTACACACAGGAGTAGGCCAGCACCTGGAGCAGTACAGACCTTGCAGTTAAGCATTCTGCTTCAGTGTGGGCAAGGAAAGAAGGAGAGCAGCACCAAATCTGTCCAGTCCTCAGTATCAATGGCTCAGAGAAGTCTGACACATTTCTGGTCTGTGGTAACAGCCTAGTAAACCATTATGCCAAGTGACAGCAAAGCCAGACCACCTAGGCCTACTCCCAAAATTTAAATTGAAAATGAGTGTCATTATTTTGAACTTAAGTCTGAAATACCAGATTGTTCCCAACTCACAAAACATCACAAGAACACAGACTGCAAATGCCTAACAAGTGTGACTGACCAACAGGGAAGGTATCAAAACAATCAGTGCACAGAACCTATCCATTACTGGGCAGCCTGGGTTGAACTCACGTGGCACTGAACAGAGAACTGAAGCCAATGGAAAGCAAATATGGCTCTACTCAGCCCCAAGAGCCCAGGATAAAATAATTTCAAGAACTGACAAGCTTCAGTTAAGGATGATCGACTGCTAAAGCCATCCAGGTACCCAGCAAGAACAAGACCGCTGTTTCCATTTAAAGAAAGGAGGCCAGAAAAGCCAGCAGCAGCAGAAAACAGTGATGTGTACCCTAGCAAACACAGGGATTGCCATACTGAGAAGACAAAACAGGGCAGATTCTCTTGTTCTGAGTGTTTCTCAAAATCAAATCTGCCAGTACAGATGGTATGCATCTGTAAAATCAGAAGGTATGCATGGTAAAGGCAATTCCCACATCCTCCCCAGGTTTCAGGGGAAAGAAAACAGGTCTATCCTACTACAGGTTTGCTGCACAGATCCAGTGGCTGCACTACAAATCCTTCACAATACAGCCAGCAGGGCACGTGTTGCTAAGTCAGTGCACCTAAAATACCTACAGCTCATCATGCAGTCAAGAAAGGAAAATCATGACCATCAAGAGGGACTTCCCAAATGTATCAATATCTGGAGAGTTCTCCAAAAGTAAGTGCCCACCACTAGGGCATTTCAAACCAGAGTGGACCAAATCAACTCTAAGATTAACTCTAGACTAACTCTAACACCTGTGCTGATTCCAAGGTGTAAACTCCAGCTGTTTCTTATGATCCAGCTGTGAAAAGCGCTGCAGAGGGAGCCCAGCTCAGAAAGGTGAACATGAGTCTCCTTTTCTGATGCTACTGCTCCCCTTGAGGTATTTTTGCCTCCCCTTGTTAGATTACAGCAAGGTCTTCCTAATGGTATCTTGTCACTTTAAGAAAGGCATAACATACTTAAAAAAAAATAAAGCCTAAACTTGTTATCCAGTCTTACCTTCCGTGCCTGTTCCAGCACTTTGCAGGCATGGAGAACAAAGGTCAAAGTCCTAATTTTCGGTATCTCACTCATGGAAGAAACCTTGTTCCTCAGACTCACAGCAAATTCCTGCAATTATCACAGGAGAGAAAAAAGTTAGTTTCAAGCTCCACAAGATCAAAAAAAAACCAGCACCTTTCACACAGATAATTGCTGCACACTCTAAAGCACCAAAACAGAAAATGCAAGCAGCAGGAGAGCAACCCAACTGCACTCAACTACAGCATCTCTACTGTGCTACAGTTTTAACTTTTCACAGCAATTCAGCTCTAGGCAGAGTTCAGCCTTCAGTCCTCTTTGCCACTGCTTTCAACTACTGCATCAGTCTGAGCAGGTGAAACACCACAAGTTAGGTGCTGCATTTCCAAAGACTTGACAGAAGAAAGCAGACCAAGAACTACCCCTTATGCCAGATCAATGGTGCCAGAACCAGCCATCCTCACCAGGACCTGAAGCCTGTCTCTAAGCTTCAGGTGAAATGCATTGAGACACATCTGAAAGTCACCAGGGCTGGGGCAACAAAGCTTCTGCAAATAAAAAAAAAGGAGGCCTTACCCTCGCACGATGATGAGAGGTGCATCTCTCATTGTAATCCTGGAAACGCTTCTCCTGCCAAGCTGCCTTACTCACCTGAAAAGACAGGTAAAAGTAATGTGTAACAACTTCCCACAGGTGCCAGTATTGCCTGGAAATGGCTACCACAGATACAGGCTTTGACAATACTGTTGGTATCAGTGGCAAGTGCTTGATGTTGAGCCCACAGAAAAGGGCAGAAGTAGAGATCACAAAATCACAGAATTGCAGGAGCTGGAAGGGACCTCCAGAGATCCTCGAGTCCAACCCCCTGCTAAAGCAGTTCCCTACAACAGGTCACACAGGTAGGCATCCAGATGGGTCTTGAATATCTCCACAGAAGGAGAATTCACCACCTCTGGGCAGCCTGTTCCATGCTCTGTCACCCTTACCATATAGAAGTTCTACCACATATTAATCCACCACTTCCTATGTCAAGTATTAGGCCATTGTTCCTTGTCCTATCACTACACACCACCAAGAAGAGCCTGGTCTCATCCCACCTCACTTTAGATCTTCGGCCTTTGCCTGAGAGGCCAGGTGTTTCTGAACACAAGCACAAACCACTGGGACAGAGCAAATTACTTACCATAACAGAGCAGTTGTAATAATCCTTATGAGTTGGCCTCCAGGGCTTGAGGCAACGCCAGCAGAAGCCATGATTACACTTGGCACACGTCATACTGCATGGATGGACAAGAACAATGGGAATCATTCAGTCCTACAAGCCTCTTGAAAACAGTTACTCCCAGTGCTCCCTTACGCCACGGAGCTGAAGCATGCAGCCTAGTCACTCATTCTCTCATTACTATGCACTTCCCTGCAGGTATTTTTTGAAGTTTTGCTGGAAGTAAATGATGCTTTTTAAAAAAGAAAAAAAAAAACATCGTGTCTCCAGTAGCAAACGAGGAGAAGAGGCAGCACAATCTCAGAGTACCACCTTATTAAGAAGGGTAAACTAAGCACTCTGCAGTTTAGAGTGAGATCCACATGAAACTTCATCTCTCCCTTCAGTAACACAGCACACAGTGTAACACAGTGGAGCTAACTGTGTCTTTACACCTTCCTGTACTAAGTACCAAACAAGAACGGATACTCACTGCAGACACCCCTCATTTTTCTCTATCTGAGCTTGGCAGTTTGGACAGTGCTTTGAAATGAGTTTAGCCAGATGCTTGCTTTGGGCTTCACTTGTCATTCCCTCATAGTAGCCATCGTCATCCACCCACTGAGACATGTGGCTGCAGCTAGCAGGATAATGGGCCTGAAAGGAAGAGAAAGTCAACCACACAAAAACAGAAAGGTAAGTGCCAAACCCAAGGCAGCAAAGCCTGCAATTCAGTTTAGCCTCACCTCTGGGAAGTTGCAGTTGAAACAAGATATCCAGGAGCACTTGGAACAGGCTGCCTCATAACCAAGTCCATCCTTAAGAAGGATCTGATCACATCCCTGAGGGTTGGTGCACCATGTCAGGTTGGAACAACATTCCACATAGCATCTGAGAAGGGCTTTTTCATACTGTAAGGAGAAGCCAGAGAGGAGACATAAGGCACAGAATCTCGATGGCTAGGCCTTACACCTGGGGTCTGAAACCTCTGGGCTCTACACCCACCTCAACAACTGCTTGCAACAGAAAAGCACTGAGCTGGTTTGGTATTTTGTACCCTTTGTGTCTTTACCCCACGTCTCATCTCTTATCAGGAGATTATTTTATAGAAATGCAGAACAGCTAAGAACTGGAAGGCACCTCTGGGGATAAAAACTCTTGTGTCAGCAAGAGTGCAAGGAGCAAGCAAGAGGGGATTTCTCACAGCTATTATTGCTGTCACAAGTGGACACTAGCAACTGTTTGGGTTTCCCAGTACAAGATAGACATTAACAGAATAGAAGTGCAGTCCACAGGCCACCAAAACAGTCAGAGACTAGAGCACAAGATTTATGAAAGAACACAGAGAGCTCGGTTTATTCAGCCTGGACAGAAGGCAGCAGAGGGGCCTCTTATCATTGCCTAGAGCTACCTAAATGGAAGATGCAAAAGACAGAACATGGAGCAATATGTTTCAACATCAGTGGTAAAACCATTAGATGTTCACTCAAGAAGCTGGCTATTTTGAGCACAGAGTTGGATGATACTATTGCAACTATTGCAACCTAAATTATTCTATGACTCTGTACATGTGGCTCTGTGTTAAAGCACTAAAGCTCCAGCCATCCCACTGCTGAGCAGAAAAGGAGCAGACAACATTTCACTGAGAGCATCTGAGCAACTTTTTAAAACTAGCAGTAAAAAAACCATAGCAATAGGATATGAAAGCCTGCACTGAGACAAGTGGGACCATAAGATTTGAAAAACCAATAAGAATTCAGTGCCCAGATACATGCAGTAACCTGCCAAACACTTCTTAAAGAAAAAATATAAAGGATACATTGAATAAATTGGTTTTCTATACCCTTGCCCATTTTGGTTGCCAGTTTGCAGGGCTGAAGTGAAATGATGAGAGAACACTCTTTGTGATTACTGTTCATTTCTCTAACTGTTCACACAGGATTCTAAATGCAGTCATGCAACAGCCACAACTCTGCCACTAGGTGGGGAAGGGATTCAGCTCTAAGCAGAAATTAAAAACTGAAAGAAGAGAGGTGAAAAAAAAGTAACACCTGCATCAGAACAAGCAGCTCCTGCTACTTCTGATGACTGTGTAAACCAGTCTGAAATACATGATAGAGAAAAGTAGCAGCAAGATTATCTGTTAGCAATGACCGAAATGGAATATAGCTTGGATACCCAGTAACCACCTCTCCTACACCTCACCTTGGCTATAACCTCCTTGGAGGAAACAATGGAATAGATGAATGCTGTGGTCGGCTGTGCACAGCACTCAGAGATGGGACAGGTGCAGCTGAGGACCATGTTCTGTTCAATGCGAGTTGTGAGATACTCATTCCAACAAGGCTGTGAAAATACAGGAAAGATCAGAGCTAGACAGGAGCTACACATTTGGGTCATGTGAAGGAGAAATCCCAGCCCAGGAGTCCACCCCACCCAGCAGAGGGTACATGAAACCACCACTAAATATGCAAAAGCACAAGAATGGGAACAGACTAATTTTGAGCTAAAGGATCACAACAAACAAAGAAGCTAACAAGTATAAGCTCTGTGAAAATCACTCGACAGCAGCTTTGGAGAAGGAACAGCTGCTTCAACTGGACAGCAGCAACCCCTACCAGATTACAGGAGCTAAAGGCTCTGATATTCACCTTGCAGCAGTAATGCATGCAGCAGAGGGTGGGTGGCTTCTCAGTGGGACACAGCTGGTTCACACAGACTGGGCAGTGGGTTCCTGGGCTTGGAGGGCACTGGGCATTTTCCACCCGGAGCCCCGAGGAGATGAGCAGAGATTCATGGTCCTCTACATAACACTGGATGAGAAAATCCACATTCCACCTGCAGTGCATTAGGAGGTGTCGAGCAACATCCTCCGGGATGCTCAGGGTATCCTGGACCTGTTGTACAGTTTGATTCATGAGCAGTTTTGCTTCCTCCAGGCTAAGTGTGTGCCCCATCGGCACTTGCAGCATTGCCAGCAGAAACTCCTCTGATTTTTCTATGCTGGGATTCAACCTAAAATGGAACAATGTGTCACATTTGTACAACGTGGAGATGCGCAACCCCCCAACAGCAGGAGACATGCATCCCTACCAATTCAGACAGTCTGTGCTGTTGTCATCCGAAGAAGAGTCTGGCAGTCTTCTCTGGAAAACCATCTGTGCCTGGCCTCCAAGAGGTGATGTGTGTTCAGCAGAGACGTACTCCAGGACATGAGGCCTCTCATCCTGGCGCCGGAGGTAGCCTTGGTTCAGCAGGTGCAGGACACAGGACAGCACATCCACACTGTGACAGCAGAAGCTCAGGAACTGCAGACCTGGCCCCAGCTCACCCTTCTCACAGGCATCAATCACCTGTAACAGCACAAGAGCGCATCACTCTTCACTCATCACCCAGCAGCCCCTCTCTGCCCCCAAACCTTCAGCCTCCATACCTTAAACACCAGGTTGTCAATGTGCAGCTGCTTTTCCACCTTGAGAATGCGGGTGATGAGGCAGCAGAGGACATTCCTCTTCCTTTCCAA